TCCTGCAGCAACCCTTGAGGGTAGATGTAATAGTACTCCACATAATGAAAGACTGCTCATGGGGGGAGGATGTATTAGACCCTTGTCCTTTGTATTATAACCTGTATAGTGACACTTGTAGCACTCTTTTAGCCCCCAATACAAAACAAAAAACAAAAAACAACCTCAAACAGCTCCAAACAATATTTTTGTAGAATACCTACTTGCAGATAGTGCCTAAAATCAAGCAGCAAGAGAAATCTTGTCTAGCAGCATGTCAACTATAGTGGAGTTATTAGAAGGAGCAGATATAAGAGGATAAGCGGCAATGAAGAGTTGACATTCAGTGTATTATCTGAGTGAGTGAACAGGAAAAGCAAGGGGCAGATTCCCAGTAGAATTCAACAGGAAGAAAGGGAGAGGACTGAAGAAGCTGTTAGATCTGAGGAAATGTGGGGTGAGCTATGAGGGGTGGAAAGGCTATCTCCTCAAGAGTTCTTGATTTCAGCTGGTGTGTCTTGAGAGCTGCTTACTGTTGCTTGTAGGTGATCAATTAGCCCCATCCTGCTGAGTGAGCAGAGACTGTAGGAGGAATAAAAGACAGGTAGGCTTTGAGGTGTGAGCATGTTGGGTGAACAAACAAGGAGAGCTAACAGGAGTTTGCCAGGGAAATTTAAGAAACCTAACAAGCTTTCACTCTCAGTGTTTCTGAAACTTTCTGCAATCATGGACCACTAAATAAACGTGGAGACCAATCCATTAAAGAAAACCCCCTCCCTATACATTGAAGAGCATGGAAGTTCATGTCTTTCAGTGAACAAGATAATTATAGTTGCATTTGTGTATGTCTTCTTGCTCCCAACCCCATTTTAAAGTCCTATTTACAGCTAAATAGTGTACAAAAATGTTTAATCCAAAATTAAGTATTTGTTTACTGCTTGAATTATGTTATACATCTTATGCCATATCAGGTAAGTCTTAGCACATCTTGCTGGTCAAAAAATATATTTGTATTTAGCACAGCATACCTGGACTGGTAACTGCTCTGAAGACCTGTTCACCATTGTCAGCTTTCTGAATTTTACTGCTATTTGTATTATTGCTGGCATGCTTCAACAATCTAGTTTTGATGACTGATCTATTTTTGTGAATCAGTATTGGTAACTCTGAGCTCTTCTCTGGTCAGCTGACTGGTGGTGAATGTTGGAGGAGGAGGAGGCTGACCTAGTGAACAGTTGTGGTCTGTCCAGCTGATTGCCAGTGAACACAAGAAGGAAAAGAAAATAATTAGTATCAGCTTTTCGATAAAAATGCAAATTGCTAACAAGTAATAAAGAAAAGGTTTCCATTCCATTCTATTCCATTCCTATTTTGGCTCAGTCTTCTCCAACAAGAAGATATGGGTTCCATCAGAGAACTATAAATATCAGAATGAAGGCAGAACTGAAGTTTGAGATGGATAGAAACCCTGTCTTGTTTAGTTAGCATGGGATTAATTCTTCAGACATTCTAGGTCAAAGGAAATAGTTAATGGTCTGTCCGTTTTATGTATTAGCTTTAGAAATCCTGGAAAATGGATTGATGGATAATGCTTGTGTATCTATGTTCAAAAGTTGAGAAAAAGGATCCCAGAAACTACAGACCAAATTTCAAACCAATACCTAGGAAGATGCTAGAGAAGATCAATAGAAGATTAATCTGCAGGTTCCTTGAAAACAACACGTTCATTGCTGAAGTCATTCCCACCATTGGCTGAGGAAGTTACCCAATCAAAAAATGAGATTGAAGGAAGTGGAAGTGTTTAGCCTGCACAAGAGAAGACTAGGGAGGGATATAATAGCACTTTTTATTTACCTGAAGGGCTGTCATTTCAGGGTGTAGGACAGGGAATAATGGATTTAAGTCACAAGAAGGTAGTTTCAAAAGAATGTGAGTAAAACTTCCTAAAAGTAAGAACAGTTCAACAGCAGAACCAATTATTCAGTGTGGTGAGGAGCTGCCTTCCACCTCATATCTTCAAGTGGAGTTCAGAGAAAGATGCTTTAATTCTGATTCCTGTGCTAAAACAGGCTGTTGGACTTGGTAACCCAATTGGTTCCTTCCAACTCTATGATTATATGAAGAAAAAGTAACAATTTCATTCATAACAGAACATGTTACTTCCAGCTACAGTGTATAAGGACACACTGTTACAATCACAGCTTCTCTAATAACTTTTCTGTTTCATTTCCAGATAAACTAGGGTTCTCGGGAAGTGTTTTCATTCTTTCTTTCTTTTTTTAAAAACCAATCATTTCCCCACCAGAAGCAAAATGTGACTGAACTGAGTTATTTTGGCAATTTTTTACTTACAAAGAAAGAAAATTGATAACATTGTGGCTAGATATTGTATGAAGCTCTGTCTCCCTGGTCTGGGTTGTGACCTGCTCTTATAAAGTACAATTGTTTAGAGTACCTTAAAATGTTTTTCTGGTCATGGTTGGAACTGTGTAATAGAAATCATCCATTACTACAACCTGATTGCATTTTGTTTAGGAGTATGTTGGTATGCCTGTTGCAGATAATAATTCTGGTTTGTATCTGTGGAACAATCTGCCTTTTTTGAAGTTACTAGTTTGTTGGATTTTTTTTTTTTTTAACACAGCAACATAAAACCCAGTTTACTCTTCCCTATTCTTCCTTTAGAATTTGTATCCTGGAAAACATTAGTTCTCTTTTCATTCTACCACACTTTTTGTGCAGGCCATCTCCCCATCTAAATTCAAAAAACTGAGCTCAAACTTTCACAATCTCTCTGTCTCTCTCTCTCTCTGTATCTTTGGCATCTTCAGCTTTGGTGATGATGCATGTGTATTACTTACTTGTATTTTTTCTCTGAGCATTTTCACCCTCATCCCTTGGAGATGATCCTTACTAAATTAGATGCTTGTCAACTCCTGCTGGCTTTTCCCACAGTTCACTTTGAAAGATGCTTTGCTTGTTGTTGTTTCTTTGATGTTGGGATTGCCAAGCCTGGTTCATGTCGCTTGCCTCTATTTTTATAGGCATATTTATTTGAAATGTTCCCCAATATCCAATGCTGTATTTACATGGCAGTAAGATTTCCAATGCCTTCTGGAAATATGGTCTACCTCCATTGTTATGTTCTCAGCATACTGAAGAAAACCTTCCCATTTCAAAATCCTAGTCTTTTCAAATAAATATAGTAAATCTAAACCTTAGCTTACCGTCTCATCTAGATGTCTGACCTCCCTCATCCTGTGCACTTATAATTACTTAATGTTGCACATCTAGTTGGTTGTGTGCACGCAGGTCTTAGCTTTTAACCAAGCAACTACATTTGCCATGCCATTGGAATCCAGGAAGATAAATGGGCCTCCACTCTAACACATGGTAGTGTTTAGCTCATCTCTTACCCTTTCATTTATTTATTTTGCAGTACTTACCCATCCCAATCTCATAGGATTCTGGGCAATGTAGAACATCAAACAAAAGGTGAGAGAGAAAAAGTAATAACTAAGTGTCTGAAGAGGGATTGAAGGAGCCAGGTGGAGTATGGATCTAGCTCACACTAGATGAACATCCTATCATAGCTGGAATGATTTCCAAACAACGAGATGTTATCCTGCTGGTTCCGCCTTGTGGAATCCAGACCATAGCAAATTTTGTTGGTGACGTATTGCACAACCATCACATAGTTGGTGGGAGCATCTTCCTGCACCTTACTCCCCAAAACAGAGTGGGTCACCCTAAACAAGATTGTTGGAATGCAATCTGTTGACACAAATATGACCCTTATTGCTTTGGTGTAGGCTTTAGTAGGAGTTTTTACTTGTGTTTGATCAAGTTCACTTCTGTTCTTCTTTTACTGTTGCTCTACGCTTCTCTGCTTCTACTTCATCTCCGAATATCCTTGCTTTTGGGAGGCTCTGGAGGTGAGGCTGCTCAGTCCCATCATGCACTCTAGCCCAGTGTTTCTCAACCTAGCTGGGGAATTCTGGGAATTGAAGTCCACACATTTTAAAGTTGCCAAGGTTGAGAAATACTGCTCTAGCCACTCTGTATTCCAGAATTTGACTAGGCTCTTGGGGTAATTGCATACTAGGTACTGCGAAAATTCCCAGTATGTTCTCATGATTAAACAAATGGCCAGATGTTAGAAATTTGGTATTTTCAGCTGCCATGCTACTTTGGAAATTACTAACGGTATTCAATGATTTCTACATATCAAAAGACTTTAATGGAAAGATATCAGCCTTGGAGGGAAAATGTGCTGTTGTTCTCTATCTTTTGTACAGCATTTGAATTATAATGCCACCCTTTTATTTGAAACATGCAGCAAATGTGTGTCTTCACAACAAGTTAAACAATAAAAACCTGAAATTTTACTAATTCAGCCATTACTTTCAGCCTGCCACTTTAAAGCAGTTGCCTAAATAATGAACTTTTGTCACTCATTTCCCCTGGAATTTATTTAACATCTCAACTTATATCTCTTAGCATGCAGAATTCACTTCCATATTCTGGTGTGCTCCTTCAGAAATTTCTTCATGAATATTAATTCTATTATGTGGTGCTTTGCTTTTTTTCCAATTGTCCAGTATTGTTAGCAAAGGGAGTTACTGTCCCTTTGATAAAAGTTTGCATACTGAAAACTCTGTCTATCTGCCTTTTAAATGCACCAAGTTGTCAATAAAATCTGTGAGATGTGTGGAAATCCAGTTTGAGGGGGGAATATGACAGATTATATCGCCAGAATTTGTGGAACTGATTGGGTAGGAATACGAATTTTCAGGGTTGTTGTTGTGACCCTACAGATTACTATAAACTCTTCTGAGGGGTTTAAATAAAAATGCAAAAATGATGGATGCTTTCCAGTGTGGTCCAGATCCCTGTAGTCAAAACATTGCTCAGTCATGGATCTTGCTGAAGATCAGCTCTGAGGTGAGCCCACTCACGGGGGCTGAGCAACAGGCTTGTACTGCAGTGATGAAGGCAGATTTAGTTCAGTCAAGTGTCACATCCATTACATGGTTGGGCAGCAGCTAAGACTAGAATGATATAGAGAAGATTAGCATGGGCCCTGTGCAAGCCCTTTACCATGACGAAAAAGAAATTAATACATTTTACAGTATATATTATGTTTGATAGTGGTGTGTAAACTTATTTCTATGTAGACATGGGGGGGGGGGGGTGTTTCTAGATATTGTAAGATTAGTTGGGGTCCAAGAGAGTGAATATTATTATAGAATATTATTCTCAATAGCGAGCTGCTGAATAGGCCCGTTTTTCTTAGTTGGGGTCCAAGAGAGTGAATATTATTATAGAATATTATTCTCAATAGCGAGCTGCTGAATAGGCCCGTTTTTCTTAGTTGGGGTCCAAGAGAGTGAATATTATTATAGAATATTATTCTCAATAGCGAGCTGCTGAATAGGCCCGTTTTTCAGCGTTCTCCTGTAACAAAGCTAGTCTGTGATCAGAAAACAAGCATAGTTGTGACTTTATGTTTGATAGTGGTGTGTAAACTTATTTTTATGTAGACAGGGGGGGGGGGGGGTGTTTCTAGATATTGTAAGATTAGCTGGGGTCCAAGAGAGTGAATATTATTATAGAATATTATTCTCGATAGCGAGCTGCTGAATAGGCCCGTTTTTCAGCGTTCTCCTGTAACAAAGCTAGTCTGTGATCAGAAAACAAGCATAGTTGTGAATGATTTATGAGTATAATATTTTTTTCTCCAGCGAATACCTATCACAAACTATTAGGTTTTGATTTTTCCTTTCAGGAAGGCAATCTAATTAAAAGTAGCAGCCATCTCCGTTTGCAGTAAGAAGTGGTTGAGCCCTTCTGTCATTCTGTCTATGTAGATGACTTAAAAGCTCCTTAAATGCAGAAAGAAAAAAGGGGGAAGACACAGCACCTCTAGCATCCCCTCTGGGGTTATAGGGGGCTGTAAGCCTGATATTTAGACATTCAGCTAAACCAGTGTTTCTCAACCTTGACAACTTTAAGATGTGTGGACTTCAACTCCCAGAATTCCCCCCCCCCCCCCGCCGGCTTGGGGAATTTGGGGGTTTTAATCCACCCATTTTTAAATTGTCCAGGTGGGGAAAAAACGGGTTTGCTGAATTTGTAA